GCTCATGGTATACGTTTTCTGCGGTTCATTACACGATGCCATGTGATGGTGAAAGACCAACAATGAACGGAATCACGAGTAATTTATAAAGCGATCACAATACTCCAAGTAAAATGGTGACGTGCACCGCTACATAGATGAGTTCAATTTTGGTCCAACCACCATTCAAACCTTATAACCACACGGAGAACGTATTTTAATGAATGGACCAGAAACCTGAGAAGTTTTCTTGAACTCAAGTGTATCAGATGCAACTGCTTAGAGCATTACATTCATCTAGGGTGCCAGAAGGCAGATAAGGATGCTTGCCTGTTGCGTCAGGTGAAAGTTTCTCCGTATCATGCGATTACGCTGGGAAATTGCGTTGACCCTGGAATACAGTTTTTGTTCGACGTAATTCTCTCCGCCTCCAGAATATAATGTCTGCCGGGTTGTGTTAGATCGAAACAAAACCCCGTTGAGTTCATACATTCCTGCAACAATAGGATGTTTTATACTGCTATCAACTTCGTTAAGTTGAAATGACACTTCGAAACAGTAACTATACGATGCTCTATTATGTGAGTGAAATTGCGTACGACGGACCTTTGCTCTGTTCAAAACCCACCACTTCTTGTTTGCTCCTAACCACCTTTCAGTTTGGTGGCCTTTGCTCGCCGGATTGGAACTTCCTGTGTTCCTCTCGTATCGCCATTTTAGTTTACACTTATCCAATCCTCGTCATGGGTACCTCACCGTCCCATATAGGAACTTTCCTATTAATTGTCGTCAACCGATCTTCACTCACCCCATTATCGTAATTTTTTATCTCAACCCTGCATTTAAACTGCCTCGTATTATTTTTGGTCACCTGTTCATCACCCACTAGCTATGTTTATCTTACCGTCTTCACTGTTACCGCTCGTTTTCTGTACATTCTTTTCTCGTAATCAGTTATCATTAACCCACATGCTATCACCCGCCTTGAGCAACCTCAGACACACTCCTCGAGTCCATTGTCTACTATCTCACTCTTAACGTGATTATGGTTGCTATCTGCAGCACCACACCCAACTTTGGTGTCACGTCACTATTCCATCTCTATGATTCGTCCTCATCACCGTTTGAATAGCACTGTCGCTGTATCCACATCACATTACTCCTCTCCGATTTCCAATGGAATGTCTTTCTCGAACATTTGCATTTGCCGTGTCGGACCGATTGTTTTGTTTAGACCGGGTTGTCCATAATTTGAGGTGTGGTTTTTTATTTCCATTAATTCATGACTGTCTATGCAAGAGTACATGTAGACATCCCAGCGTTGTGTTCTGCTCGGATTAGGGGTTCGATATCTGCGGTTCAGTCCATCGTCGGACGCCAGTTAGCGTTATATTGTTTTCACTGCCAGGTAGGTAACCAAAATTAAAGAACTGTAAATGAACGTAGATGAATGGGTTTTCGACTTATACAAAGTACATGTGAGACCATGTACAGTCAATCTCCTGCTATGTCGCACCCCTCGAGAATTCGAAAGAGTGGGTGAATTCCGGGAACTGCTGCGACATAGCACATTGGTCCGCAGTAACTGCTAATAAATTGTATGAAAATTCTATTAGGGGTTTTCTGGCAAAATAAACCGGATTGACTAAATGTACGTTAATTCCGTAACTTGTCCCCAATGTTTATAATTATGTACTGTTTGTTTATGACGGAATGTACGTATACCGTCGTACGTATCTTTTATGTACCGAATAAATTAAAATCTTTTATGATACCCTCAGCTTAATATCAGTTAATTGCATGCGGTATCCAGCCCTTTTCGGTTTCAGTTTTCGGTTTTCAGTTATCCTGAAGCTACTTACCTTTCTTCAAGGGAACTTCTTCTGACCGAATTGTCCCATAACAATTCCAAACATGCCTCCATTCGGTTGCAATGCTAGGGTGACCAACCAATTGTGTATATGAAATCGACAATATTGTAAAACGATTATAACTATTATAATCTCATTGTTCTTAGCCCATTCACGGAACACAAAATTTAATCAGTTCCAATACAGTTAGGCAGATAATAGTATTTGAAGGAAATAACATCATCTTAAATGAGTGAAGTATCTGTTTACTCAGAACATTGGCCTCTTTCCCATATTCAAACTGACTCTTTGTTGTGCAATCCATTCATGATTTTCTAGTGAAAATGTGTACCATTAGCGTCTGTAGACATCTATAGTAGTTCTTTCGCTTTTGTTGTTACCGGTGTATTTTCACTCCGATTGATACATTCATCATAACCGTTGTTGGTTGGATTAAGTTCGACACATGATGCCATAATGTGATCCCTAAACTACAGAAGTACAAACGTCCTTAGACCCGGGTTACGATGACCTTTGGGCAGTGACCTATCTAATTTTATCGGTGCTCGAGCAAGGCCAATTGTGAGTACCGTTCATCCATTCACACAGGCGCGTCCACGGGACGGCAGTTATAGATCGCTCCTATCTGTCACCTCACTCCACTCACCCGCTTACCAGTTGGTCGCAATTTTCTTTCTCTCATTTGCCCGTTAGTGCTAGAGCCCATCGGTATACCGAATGTTCATCGCTTTGGTGACTAGTTTTCAGTTTCAGTTTTGAGAAACATGACTACATAAGAGACTTGATACAAACATTTTAAATTACCCACTTCTTCACCAGCAGATTCCAAATAGACAATTTCCCCTTCAAAAAGACGGTCATCAATGGACACATAATGAGTGAAGTCCTCGATTAGATTGCATTTATCCTCTGGTATCTGCATCACCGGCTGAATCAATGTGGATTGAACCCAGCCTTCGTGAAAGCGTTGATCAGTACGTGCGGATGCACATACACCCAGGCTTTCTTGACCAGATGCATGGTTATGAGAATGCCCACCTCGGTTTCATAATAATTTGCTCATTTTCGATCGAAGACAAAACATTCCAGTAATGTTTTCCGAAACCAACATTTAAAAGACCAAATTACACCCTGATCCATTGGTTGTAACACTGAAGAACAGTTCGGAGGCAGCCGTATTATTTGACATTGGTTATGGCAAGGGGCATTATCCATAAATAGTAAAACAGAGCACCTTTGAGAAACCATTTTGCGGTTTACATCTTACAGCCAACTGTCACATAACGCAAAATGCATCCATGCGTTCTTCAAAGAGTTACAAATACATGGAAGGCCTTTTATATATACACTTCGCAGGCATCGTGGAGTTGGAAACCTTCCAATCACCTACGGTGATAACTTTTCTCCAGCAATGTTCCCACAAAGCAGTTACGTGACCATCTCTTTGGATTTCTTGGATCAAGAAATTTTCCTTTGAGGCTTCATGTTCTTTCTGGGAGATGTCTACAATACAAATTTGTTTCATNGGCATTGAAAGTCTCACAGTCCGCATACCCATGTATCAACTGCGATAACCCCCCTCGAAACTCTTCTACTGCATCACGTGGTACCACTCAAGCTATAAAGTAATGTATTTGGGTTGGTTGTTTCTTACTTTGAAGACCAAATATATCTGACCAAGAGCGAAACCAACATTCGGAATCCTTGAAGTCATTATGATGAACTCTTTGTGCTAGCCGGATTGCCTTCTTACATAGGATGCTCTCCACCATGGGGACCCTCCTTGCTTTTGCCTCATGGCAGTAAGCCAAGCCAAGATTGCTTCATTCACTGTCTTGAACTTTTCGTTGGTTTTCAGGTGACATCTTTCCTCAGATGCTCCAGCGTTTAAAAGTTCACCGATAGTCTTTTGATGGGATATAACATTGTAGACTGTTGAAATTCCAAGTGATATGTCTAGGAAGCTCTGAGTTGCTCCTGGATGATTCAGCATTTCTAACACATTCTGCTTCACTCTGATCGATAGGCTCTTGCACATTTTGACGTCAAATGACACTGTCTCTGATCACTTGCACCGATGTATTCTTCGCAAGGATTATCCAATCGGTAAATAGTTGCATGCATGAGTCACACTACGTGAACCGCCATTGGCTGAGTGCATCGTTTCAGAGTAGATGATCATAGGTCGTCCATAGAACATCGGTCAACGATCAGGTGAGTGCATATCCGGACCTGTGACATAGTGAGAGGTACGAAATTAGATATTCATTTGAATATTCAGAAACTACATTATTACGCATACTATTAGTTTGGGTTTTCGGAAACGTGGGAAGATATTGGAAAATCCGACATCTCAGGGGTGCGAAATACCAAGAAATTGAATATATTCCATAAAGAGATATCCGATGATTAGAGGAATTTAACATATTCACTCATCAGTTGAACTCCAGTGAGTGCGTTCGTTCTGCACCCTCAGCATTACTGATTACTACTTTGCAGCTTGCGTGCATAAACATTCTTTGGGTCAGTCATTGGCCGGCAATCACCAGATCTTGTTTCACCTCCTGACTTGAACGTTCACTTGTTTACAAGCACACATTAACTCAGCGCTGGGTTTGAAACACGACCTTTCAAGTAGACAAGCATTTTTTCTGTACCATTGATTGGTTGCTTTCGACTCGTAAGTCCTCTGTTGGTTTTGTTTAAACTGGTGATACTGTGGCATTGAAAATGTTAGCACGAGTTTGCAAACTGTCATATGAGAGAGGTTATGTAATACTGAGCGTTGTTACAACAGGGTAATTACAAAACACACGGTTACACTGATAGTAAACGCATGCCTTGTTAATTGCCTTTCTTGAGAGCTTGCAGTTTTTGGGAATATTTACTGTAATTTACACCACAATCAATCAATCCCTTTGATCTAAAAACATTTAGTTTGCCTCTGTATATTCCAAGAATTTTATCTAAGCAATGTATTTTACAATTGTCTTTGAATGTCAGTTTTAAATTTCTGCCAAGTATTTTCAAATGGTTTATGCTAGTCTACATTCAGTACAGCTGCTATTTTTCCTCTGTTTTCAGCCCAACCAAACAAGACGGTATTTCACACAGTAACCGCTGAAAAATCAACATGAAAATCAAATTGAAATGCTTCATGAAAGCAGACTGAGGCCAATCGTTCGACGTGGTGAACGAGGCAAATTTTTTCGAATGGACCAAAAAGAGCCAATCCTGACAGGCTGTTTGGAATTTGAATCACACAGTCCAAGGCACAGGTCGACTCCAAAGACGCATTTGGTCGAGGTGCAAACAGATCCTCATTTGAGCACAAACGCAGCGACAACCAGCACAAACGTGAAAACATCTGTAGTGACAAACACAGATGGATGTAATCACCCGCTTACAATGGGTCGTCGGTTCAATCAATATAAATCTGAACATCGAAGGCATAAAGCTTGCCAGGGTGGCATGGCTTCGACGAGCAAGATAAAATTGTTCGGTGAAATATCCTCAATTAGGGGCGTGCAACGAATATTCCGAGCAGAAACACCATTCATTCGAGTTTTGTGGATTTTGTTCGTGGTCTCGATGACCTGCCTGTTGGCAATCTCTTCATTCATGCTCATTGTGGACTATTTGCAGTACACAACCTCGTGGCACACACGCAGTCTCCCGGATGATCGGGCTGAATTTCCCGCCATTACCCTGTGTGCGCACAATCCATTCTCCTTGAAAGCCAATAGGTTATGGAGCACAGGTGAAGTGATCGCTCCGAATCAGGTCAAATCACGCATGGCCTCTGTCTCGTTGGAAATGTTAAATCGGAATGAGGTGGAAAATTCTGTGTGGTTAGCTCTGAGTGACTCCTTTGAGTTTTATTACACTAACTTAGATCAGGAAGACAGTAAAAAAATCAGCCACGATTTTGCCATTATTCCACATTGTATCCTCTACTCATCCACACATTCCGTTGTTGCTGAGAAATGTGAAATGGAACATATCACCCCGATGATTCGACGGAATTTCTCGCATCCGAAATATTTCAATTGCCTGACCATCGAAGGGCGTGGCGATCAGAATACTTCCGACATTTCTCGCCTGGTCCTATTAGCACACTTGGTTCCGTCCAGTCAGATTGTTGAAGCCAAGTCCTCATTCATTATGGATACATTCACACGAGGTGAGGGAATCAAAGTGGTTGTCCACGAACGGAACACCTATCCACAGATTGAAAAATACGGTTTCAACGTACAACCTAATCGAATGAATGAGATAATTTATGAGACCATTTCATGGAAACGCTTGTCCACTTCGGTTGCACCATGCAAAGATGCCCAATTACCAGTGAGTGACTTAGACTCAAACTATACTTACGAGATGAGTCAATGTTTGGACATTGCTGTCCAGGCTGAAATGATTCGACGTTGTGGATGCATGAATTCCGAATGGCCGCGTCCGAAACAAATGTTGCGGCGTCGCATCCCTTACTGCACTACTATCGATCGCAATAGCACCGTTGAGGCTGCAGCTACTGTGCTAGTCAATCGCGTGGGTTGCTTGAGCGTGTTCTTTGATGAAATTNACGAATAATGCAAGCGGGCACCTGCATCCCACGTTGTCGTTACTTTACCTATGATACGAAGCTGAGTGTGACTTCATGGGAACCCAGTTCGGTAAAACTATCTTCTTATACGGATAACTATCGTTTTGCTGAAGGATTTCTTACACAACCGGATAAAGAGGAGAGGAAAAAAGCGTTGAGTGACTACTTACAAAGCATTATCGATCCGACTAAGAATCGATCGTCAGGTGATCAGATCGAGAAGTCCGGTGACTTCAAGCAATTTGGTGATGGAACATACACGTACATAAGTCTTATTCGACGAGATTTTGACACCACTTTAAAAGAGGAACGCCTGGTTTTTGACGCACATATTCTCTTGTCTCGAATAGGTGGACTATGCTCTCTCTGTATTGGGCTAACAATGGCTTTCTTTATTGAAATCATTGAGTTCATCTATGCAATATGCCACTACGATTCGTCCTATCACAAAAATCACAATGCCGTGGGTCAAAATAATTCAACTGATATGAACAGTATCAGGAACAACTATCTCTCTGTCGATGCGTTCGCAGATCCGTATATGGAAGCGGATTTTACAAGACAAGGGAAAGCAGGTGATCAAATATACAACTCCAATTCCTCAACTAAAGGTGTGGGCCGTTCGAAGTCAATCACGTTCTGTTGAATGCACCAGAAAAACAGTTCAGTATCACCATATGATACAAATTAAAGCGCTCCGTTCGTAAACATGTGTAGTGAGCAAAATTGACTGAATTCCTGTTTTGCTTACCTCCAGTGAACTCGCTCCCACTTGTCCAAAGATTACTGTCTGGGAAAGAGATAGGACATGAAATGGTTGCCAGACCACTGTAGTTTATGACACCTTAGCCACCTTTCATAAGTGTAACAAAATATTTTTTGAAACCCGGAACCGATTGATCTCATCCTATCGTCAAAACCGCATCGTTCATTCGATCAATCCATCAAATTCATCCAACCAATACGTGAACCACATCACAACGTCATCCTTTCAAGGTCCTTACATATCCCAGATCTTTGCGCATACACATTATCCCTCCTATCACCCAACATTATCCAAGCGAGCTTTCGGTGTCCCAAAACACTTCCTTTCAATCCTTTGTCGGGACTGTATCCAAGTAAAGCAAACAGCTGGGACCATCAGACAGTACAACAGCATGCCCCCAACGTTCGCAAACACACATGCAGATTGCAGTATTCTCACAACTTGTATATAGTTCGTTATATTTCAACATGCATGAAGATCACATGTCTTATTTGCCAGTTGACTAACTGGGGTGGATATGATGTAAATTTCCAAAGTATAATAAGGCTTATGTTTTTGAAAATACCGATTAGTTGTACGGAAACATTCCCATAGGAATGTTCCGGTGAGAAACAGAAGGTTTAATTAAAACCATTAAATGTTGTAATGATCTAAATAAAGTGCAATGGTACCAAGCGGTTGGCATAATCTTGTGTTGTTCATGTGATGGGAAGGGAACTCAGTTGACCATGTACCTCAGAGCTGAGGGTTTTGAGTCTCAATTCAATATGATTCATGGATTCCATTTACAGCCGGGAGACAAAACACACGCATTGGCTACTAGTTGAAATGGATTTTTAGTGCCGGTTGTCCAAAAACGTAACCTAGTGGGAATGGGTAGTGGATGATAAAAGAAAATCTGTTCAACTCCAAATTACCCAATGCGTTCGAATTCAGGGATAAAAAGTTGTGAACAATGCATAAACCCATCACAGCAGCCGAGCGAGACAGAATAAAATATTAGTCAGAACAATTAAAAGGGTGAGAAAAAACCTTTTTATCCGAAAACTCCAAAATATTCTGAAGATTGATAAAAATACCAGGGATGTGCTTACGGAGTATTTCTGCAAGACAAAGGGCTACATTGGCTGTATACATAGTGATAGTCCCATATTAACTGGAGTTGAGGTCACTGTAACAATAAGGGACAAGAAGGGGTGAACATGCAAAAAACGAAATATTTATGAGGAATGCAGATAGTTAAACGCCGTATACTCTTAGAAGGCATCCAAATGAGTACAGATACCATAGGAAGATTGACCGGAGTGTGATCCTGTTTAACAGATTTGTTC